CTTATATATTTTAATCAGATTCCAACTCCAATCTATATACAGAAATAATGAATTTTAAAATGTTGAAAGTTGTTTGAATTAATGGTGTTAGGAAGAGAGTGATTTAAGATGAGTGATGTTAAGCTCAATTTTGTCATAACTCAGCTGCAACACATCCATTTACAGACATGCTTTAGAGCAAAGTCAACACCCTGCAGCTCAAAGAACTCTGTATGACAGTTCTGTGCACTACTTTAGCTTGTTACCTGTAGCATGAGGTACAAGAAAATAGGATTACATACTAATCAGCCTCATTACAATGAATTCAAAGTGGACAACTCTATTCAGGTTCTTTGCAAAATACACTAAGAGGTTGGATCTATACTTATTTTACTAAACCTGATATTATCATACATAAATTCATTAGTTTCCCTATTTAAAACTAAGTTGTTCTATATTCAGTTAATTAGTATAAGGAACTAAGATTTTTTCCTGTTTTGTTCCTTAAAAAACAAATGCATGCTTTCACCTAAAATGTGAAAGGTGATAACATAGCAAAATGCTATATAGCCAACTTACCACTGCCACCGCATCACTAGCAAGAACATCATTAACATCCAGCACTGTGTAATAAGCTATGTTGGTCATAATGTAGATAACAGTCACGATTGGCATAGACACAGCAATAGCCAGGGGCAAGTTCCTGTAAGACAAGGGAAAAAAAAGAAAAAAGAGGGAGGGGGCTATTTTTCCATTAATAATACAACTACCTTATGAGTTTGCATTCCACATTTCAGCAGTAAAAGTTTTAAAGACACGCAAAAAAGAAGATTTCAAAATAGCTACCTCTGGCAGAGTTTAATTTAAAACTGGAAATTCTAAAGTAAAATACCAGAAAAGTTAGAAATTCTAATTTTAATAGAATTTTAAACCTAAATTATGCAGAACAGTGATTCTATGCAACTGCGCTTCAAGTATGCTACTTTCAAGGTTTCCAAATCACAGTCACACACCTTCAATTATTTTCATAATAAACCATAAAAAACATGCTGTTTGTCACAATCAGGAGACCTATAGGAGCAGAGCTCTGAGCCACTGCATGCACCTGGGGAATGCTGCTGCTTTTTCAGGACCTATTTCTAGATCTGATGCGGTGGAGTTCTCTAAAGCGAAACAAAACCTTGATCACCCCATCTGCATTCCTTTACCATCACAGATCAAATGGACTGGTCTGGATCTCCGCAGAAGGAAGAAATCCAAAACCGCTGCCGAGCTACAGACTCTGGATGAAGTGCATTTTATCAGCAAACACGGAGGATAATGATGTCAGTAATGTGAAAACACTGCAAACCAAGCTCTAAACATGAACAGGTAAGATTTATGAACAGTTAAGATTTACTTTAAGCTAGCAGCTTGTAAAAGGCAGGCAAATTTTTAAGAACATTCATATCCTTCCTGACAGATGAGTTTTCTTGAGAGAATGTTTTAAGCTTTTGTTAACAAAAGAGTAGTTACACATGCCTGCAGAAGACAAGAAAGAAGCCAGGCATATAAGGCAAATACCTTCAATATTTCCAACCTACAGTTATTTTGAGAACATTTCCTGAACCTGACATGGCTTGTCTATTTAGATAAACTCTTCCATTCACCAGGTTCAGTTTCTTCCCGACCAGCAGCTCTACAAGTCCATTCCTTGCAATAGGAATGGCCATTTTTCTGGCCTCCAGTGAACACTGAGCCATGGTTTTGTGGCAGAGTAATTCAAACTGAGGAGACTGCAAGAATTCAGGTATAATTTCCCTTTGGTATGCCTTCATTTCTCATTTTAGACTGAAGCAGTGGGCACCCCAGGCCTCTCTTCCTTTATCTGGCTTGGTGAGGATGCCTTACTCTGAGAGGAGCATCATCTTGTCCAGTCTTCCCCCTTATTTTCCCAAAGGGGCAGGAAATTGTTACATCTCTGGCTTTGCATAGAGAAGCAGGGATCCCACATGTCGTGAGTGCACAGATAAACTCCCAGCCCTGAGGCTGGAGCCCCATGGTGAGAAGCTCCACAGAGCAAAACAGACTTAGTTTCTAACTTCTCTCTGCCTTGCACGAGCATTTGGCAGGAACACAATCTTCCACAAGAGAAAAAAATAAAATAAAAATAAATAAATTAGAGTTCTGGCTTTGCCTTCAGGTTGCACAGCCACAGAAAGAGTCCAGGGGACTTCAGCACAGAGAAGAAACAGAATTAGAAAAGCACTGTGAAACCACTTAAATGCTTCGGAGCACACCAGATCAAAGGCGAGGGACTGCTTCAAATTTAACTCATGGATTACAGCTTTGATAGGATGAGCACAAGGACATTATGAATCAAATTGTTTCAAAAAACCTAACAGATATCAGATATACCATATAAACATATATAGACAATATATATCATATCTGAAAATATATTTTTCAAACAGAGGTTGTGGAGTCTCCTCCTCTGGAGATCTTCAAAATCCTCCTGGATGCCACCCTGTGCCACATGCTCCAGGTGTCCCTGCTGGAGCAGGGAGGTTGGACTAGATGATCTCTAGAGGTCCCTTCCAACCTCAACGATTCTGTGATTCTGTGAATGCATCTATTACAAGAGTCATCTGACTGAAGACATGGAAAAATACAGCAATTTTAAAAAGATGAAAAGATATTGCATCCTCAAAGGGGAGCCCTTTCAGGAGGAAGAAAAAAAAAAAACACGATGACAGATGCAAACGTAAAATGCAAATCCTCTTCCGAATACTTATAGCAAGGCTATTTAAGAGTTAAAATTTTATCTTTTTATAGGTGACATTACAGGTTAAATGAAAAAAAAAAAAAGGCACAGTGTAGAACTCAGGAATAAGAGAAGAAATTCTGATTTGGGGAGAATTGAAACTCTTCCATTCTTTATCTTCCACTTGCAGTTTTTAATAGTGATTAGTGATTAAATAGGATTCTGCATTTAACAAAGGCATCTGCATTTAACAAGGCACCTGCTTATAGACTCAAAATTGAACAAAGATAAATGTTTAGTCAGTCACTTTTGCAGCACAGCTTCATGGAAAATGTGTATTTTTTGGAATGAGAATTACTGCACAGATATGAACACAGCACAGACTACAGTTACAAAATTGTTACAATGCAATATTAATATAACACATTTGTAGGGAATAGCATGCAGCATCTTAGACTAAAAGCTTAACAAGCACTGCATACAGCATCCTGCAATCATCTACACTTATTTTTTAACTTTTTTTTATCTTTTAATGAAGTTCAAAGTTAGTAATTTCTAGTTTGTGTTGTTTACAGCCTTACCATCTCAGAGTGAAGGAGCTCTGCTTATTTCTGTCTAGGCTCAGAACTCATCAGTGAAAGGCAATCACAAGATGAGAGACTTAGGAACTGTTCGGGTTTAGAAATTTCAAGTCTTTTACCTTTCCGGGTTTTTGATCTCTTCTGTTACAAAATTGAGCGTATCCCAACCAGAGTAAGAGAACAAGGCAGAATAGAGGGCAAGGGAAATGTCTCCAATATCAAAAGAGGATCCCTCAAAAGAGTTCTCAAAATGTGCTGAATGTCCTGTGTATGGAGGAGACACAATGAAGTACAGGAAAATAAAATATAACAAGTAATTTTTTTTCAGTTTGGTAAACAAATACAAAAATTCAGAAAGGCTAACTTCCTTCAAAGCTGCTTATTAAGCCATTTCTCCAATTTTGGTCTGTGCTTCAGCCGTGAGAATAATCATAACTTTTAAAATACTAAAAATTATGCTCTATGGATGATATGTTGAAAATTTGTGGTAATAAAAAATACCCTCATCTGACTGCTAGTCCCTTAGCACAAACAAGAGAAAAGCAATTGCTGAGTTAGGAGCAGAAAAGGGAGCCACTGTCAAGGAAGTTAGTAGTAAACACACCCAGTATCTACAAAACAAGAGATGGTGCAGACATGCTAAAGATAGAATATACTGGCATAGGGCTTATGCATGCACATTCTTGTTCCCTTCACAATGATAATTACACTGCTTGTGGTAATTACCGGCACATAAATGTTCACCAATAACTGCTTAGAGCAAAGGACACAAGTTGCCACAGAAATACCTTTGGGGAAGCTTTGAAATCAGGTTTGGGAAAGCTAACACGGCAATAATTTTTCCTCAAAGAAAGAGATAAGAATAAAACTTAGTTCAAAATTATCCTCATCTAATTTGAAGGCACAATGCCTAACACAGAGAGAAAAAAAAATTTCCATAATCAACAGCAACTTTCTAATTCTCTGCTGAAAAGCTGAGCTCTCTTATAGGTGAAAAAGCTATAAAAGGGTTTCAGAAAAAAAGTGTAATGTAGTACATCCCTTTATGGGAATGTGTATCTTTCTCCACTCCTATCCAATTTTGCAAGCTTTGTAATTTGTTGTTTTCGTTTTCCTTATTATTCCATCCCACAAGCTGTAAATTGCACAATATGGCTGAGCAATCAGTTACCTTCTTTCACCCAGCTCAAAGTCAACTAAGATAGCTAGCTTATCACGATATTTATTCCTAACACTGGCATTATTGGTATTTTCCAAGTGCCTTACTGCACTTACTGAAGCATTTGATAACACCTATAAAGAGATATTTACAGTCTCTAGACCAGTTATTCAACCAAGCTGATATGTACAAACCTCTGTTTTAATCTTATAACCTTACCCTGGCAGATTTTAACAAGTCCAGTTATGATGATGGCAATAAGAGCAATGACTTTAGCGTAAGTAAATACATCCTGGACCCGTGTTCCCCACTTAACATAGGCACAATTTACGAATGTTAGAAGACCTGGAAGAAAAGTAAAAAGGCGATTTAATTTATTTTTCAAATATTTTTTCCGTGACTATCTTAACACATACTTACCTGTTATACAACTATTTGGCTTAAATTAAGCAAAACACACTGGTATTCAAAATACACTTGTTTTTTAAAAAAAGCTAGGAAACAGATGTTCTAAAGATTCATAATACACAGCTTTACAAAAAAGGGAAGACCTTCCCCACATATCATATAGATCATATAGGCATATAGATCGTATGCCTGTTTTCCTAATTTTACTCCTCATGAGCTGCATTCTCCAACTATCCTGAAGCTAAAGAAATCACTTATATGGAATGATTCACTTTAATTTGGCAACATTGTTCTGATTAATGAAAGATTACCTAGAAATCCCTTTAGGCAAACATATTAAAGTACTTTTATTGTTTTGTCCTTTGCTAGTCTGAGGGCCAGTCCAACGCCCACAGAATTTTACAGCTTTAAGAAATTCAAAACATTAACTTATTTGCAATAATGAATACGGTCACAGGTGATTCAATATCCTTCTCCAGCTATGTTAAACTGTGCTACTAAGCAAGGCTAGAACAGATCTGACCAAATAACATATATCCTAAAGGTAATGCAACATCAATATGGATTTTTTAAGAATTTGGTGATAAGTAATTTGTATTCTGAATATATTCCTCCCGGTACCCCAAAATAAAACTGTCAGCCCTATTTCACAAGATTGGAATGAAGGGCACCGAAACAAGACTTTCAGATTTCGCAAGTATTTTGCCACAAGTAACTTACTCATATGATCAACTTCCCCAGTAAAAGCTCTTTTCAAGCTGTTGTTGAGATACACTCTTCTCATAATTCTCAGCATTTCTCAACTCAGATACTTTTTTTTTTCCTGCATCCAGCTTGTCATTAAAATTATCATTATTATTTCAACCCTGAAGTTTAAGCATTTTTTTCAAATCTCACTTTTTTCACTGGCAGGTAATATTAATGCAGTTATATTGTACTGTGCTTTATACTTCTGCACAGTTTTATTGTACTGTGTATTTTAAATATGCGTATAACTAAGAATTCAAATCAATTAAGAACTGAAGTAGTAGCAAAAAAATAAGTAAATCAAAACGATTGAATGAAAGGAAGGAATGAAAGGAAATCACTTCCTTTCCCATAAGCTAAGAACAACATAATACTATTAAGATATGAATGCACTTAGAGCAGCTACCAACTGGGAAAAAACAAAAACAATAATCAAAAAAACAGTGACAAAAGAAAGGTAATGATCTCATAAGAACATGGCAATAACAGACTAGAAAGCCAGGGCAGGGGAAACCTTGGCTGAACTGGATTCCACAGGGCTTGGCAAGGGGGAAGAGCAGGGGGGGAAACAGAAAACAGTTGTATCAAATTTCAGTTGCAGCACTGCTGCAGCTCCCAAGAAATTCTCAGCAAAAACCCAACACCTCTGCTTGATCTCTGCTCTCCAGCACTAACAAGCAGTATTATCCGCAGAGAATTTTCTCACAGGGGTTATCTTACCTGTTGATTTTTTGAGAGCGACTTTCAGTGTGGGAGCAATTATTACTATTAATACTTTCTTGTTTTATTTAGTGTGCTAGGACTTGGTCTTCAATTTAAGTGAAATGCTACTTTGTCTATGGTGTCTTAAGAAAAAAAAAATCAAGAAAAAAAAAGAAAAAACAAGAATCTGACCAGGCCATGTCCTCTTTTTTCTTTTACTAAAATTATTCTCTCGTTTCCTTCAACTTAATTATCACTTTGCTATTTAAAGCTTCTGAGAAGTGTCAGGTACCGTTCTGCATTGCCAGATGCTGGCTGCATCACTCGGCTGACGGTAGATGAGTGATGGAGTAACAACATTCAGTGCTCTGGATTTTACTAGACAGATCATCCCGTAGGCCTAGCACGTTGCTGGATTTATTTATTTATTTTCACTTACACACTATACCTACCTAATGTTCAGACTTCTGATTCCAACAACTTCATTAATATTAAGTTTATCCACCGAAATGACACAGAACATCAGCTGTGCCAAGGAGAAGAGAAGGCTCCAGCAGCCAGAGCTGCGTGAGACAGAGGAGCAGGAGTGAGAGCCTCAGCACTGAGGTCTCAAAGAGGGCAGGACAAGTAGTAAGACTATAAAATAGGCTGCTAAGGTGTATCTTGCATCTACATGAAAGTGATCTTGTCACTACAAATAAATAAAGTGATATATTTCTTCCCATAGCACCAATTATAGAGGAAATCACATTCTAACTCTGTATCCACTGTACATAATCATCTTATTTTTCCTATAAAGGAGACAGGAGCCTCTGGAGTGAATCATTTTGTCTTAGCATCTTGCTAAACCCTCTTTTTTATTTTTTTTCCTTTTTCTTTTATTTTAAGCAGGATATTAGGCTCCATAGCCCATAGCAGCTTTGAGCAAAATATGACAAATGACTTGCCACAACTGACATTCCAAAATGTGTTTTTCCATGTTTACTAGAAATATAAGTTACGCATATGTGAGAAAAAACTGTCAACAAGAAACAACTAAAATTAAATTCTCTTGACACAGCAGAATAGCCCTGATTTGAAGGCAGTGCTTCTAATGAAGACAGTCTGATGTTGCTTTTCCATACTTACTAATGGGAACAGCTGGCTGCTTACAGACATTTCAATGTTTTATACACACAGTTTCCATTTTTCAAAATATCTTAACAGGTACATTTTTGATATGCTATGGCAAAACAAAAGGGTAAAAAACCATCTTCAGTGAATGACATTTTCAAAACCTGCCAGAATAACCACTTAAACAGGTCTACATTGAGATGCTACAGTGAAAAATTACAGCAGAATTTAGAGCATATAAGGTACTCTGCAGTAACTCCAGGTATGCTCTTAGGACTACACCAAGAATATCTTATCTTTGACTTAGTCCACCTCTCTGAAGTAAAATAGATGAGGAATAGTTACCCTATGCATTTCTCCCACATAAGTAAACTCTGAAGAGTCAAATACCTTGTTCTGCTTTTGAATGAAAACATGTTAATTCCATGGTTACGCACTTAGAGGTTCATAGACTAGAAATTTTTCTTCTTCCCGCCTCACAACTTCAATCATTTCAGATTCAGCATGCAACAAGTCTAGGACTCAGTAGGATGCGTTTCAATAGAGTTTAATCCTAGATAAAAAATTACCACAGCAAATTTCAAGCAATACTTACATTCACAAGCAGCTGCTATCAGACGGCAAGCAAAATATGGAGGATCACAAGAAGGGAAGAAAGGTTGAACTAGGTAGTTAGCAAAGGTGATGGCAATGATCGCCTGACTAGTTGGCTCAACAATTAGGAGTGAGGTCCACAAACGAATAAAAGCAATGAAGCTCCCAAAAGACTCCAAGATATAAGCATAGCTTGCTCCAGACTTGGTAATAGTGGTTCCGAGCTCAGCATAGCAGAGAGCTCCAAAGACTGAAAAAATCCCTCCAATTGCCCAAACTATTAGAGACAATCCGTAAGATTTGCTGTAGATGAGAACTCCTTTGGGAGAGACAAAGATACCTGAACCAATCATGTTGCCTACTATAAGGCTTATCCCATTTAGCAATGATATTTCTTTCTTCAGTTGCATTGTATTTTGGTTTCCATCAGGCATTTCAGAGCTGTCACTGGGATCTGTCTTGTCCGATTTATCGACTGGGCTGTACTCAGCCAGTGAGTTATGAGACTTGGTACCATCAGTCCTTTCTCCCATCGTGGAAAGGCCAGGAATTCTCTGTGACTCCAAAAAACAATCTAAAGAAAAAAAAATAAATAAAAAGCTGAAATCATTATAAAAACCTTTTCCAATTGCTCAGATGCCCAATACTACGACCTGCTCCCTTAGTTCCTCTAAGAAACCCTATTCCCAGTTCCCACTGTCTCCTTTTTCTTCAAGTTATTTATCTAAGAACATAAGCTGCACAGGAAAAATGCTGTTGTTCCAACCCAAATTCAGCTGTTCATTAGCAGCTGTTTTTAACAGTATCTAAGAAAACAAAAAAGAAATAAACGTTTTCCTTTGCTTCACAACTGATCATTTGGAAAACCACCACTTTCAAGTCCTTAGAAATACTACTGTGCCTCCTTAATGCAAGCTATGGCTAATTACATTTATAAGCACAAAATACGCTGGCTGTTATTGGTAATTTTGAACGAGGCACATTATGTAGAAGTTCAAGTAAAATTATTTATTCAAGAAGCTGTCTTGTATGGAGACCAGTTTAATTTCCAAAAGTATTTTTGATTATCAGTCAATAAAAGAACATAAGAACCAAAATGCACTATCATGCATCTGCCCTTGTCCCTCAGTGTACGTTTTTGCCGTTTACTACAGAGCAGAAAGATGAATAACTCTGTATCAGTTAAAATAAAAAAGTTAGTTTTCCCCTTTTCTTGTGGGTAGCATCAGGTTTATCAAATCTTTCATTCTTCCACCAATAAACATGTCTTCTAAGAGCAGAGATACCCTGAGTCCAGAGTTTTTGAAAGGTCATCACGCAATTACCCAAACCACATATGTCTCCATGCATCTTGTGACTTATGAACACAGACACCTTGTTGAGCAATGCTAGGTCACTGTACAGAGTTTTGTTCCTGCAACTACAGGCATATGTTTTTGGAGGGAAAAATGTAATGACCAAAGCCTTACTTATAATAAAGCCACTGATTTCCTGTACTGTACAATACACTATAGGAAATCTCTTCACATCCTCAACTCCTTGTTGAGGAACATAAATGTTACATTGAATACTCATTTTTGACACACTTGCTCCCAGGCAAATTTGAGGAACATAAGCATTACGTTGAATGCTTATTTTGATATACTTGTTCCCAGGCAAATTTTAACCAAGAGCAACCATGCTTTACCTCAAGGTGTTAAGGTTAGAGTATGTTTAGTCACCTGTAACTTCTGCCTCTCTAACTCTTTGAAGACCTGGATCAGCAGCACACGGCTGCCTTCCTCTACAGTTTTGTTACTTATGACCTTGGCTGTTTATTGCCTTACTCTACCCTGCTCAAAAAGGAACAACCACAATATCCCCTCAGTCAGGCTTCGGTTTGCATAATATTGCCTCTGAGTGTTTTTTTTTTTTTTTTTTTAACTATTATGACTATTATTCCCAGATTCAGGTATCAGCTGACAACTAAGAGCGCATGAGTGTGCATGCAATAACTCACTCCACATTTAGCATTTCATTCTCTCCTCTAACCTTGTTAAGTTTTATTAAAGCCCTCAGGGCTGGAATTGTTTATTTGCCTGAGTCACGTGTCTTATTACACTAACTGTACAACAGAATCAGAGGTACTAGCAGGTTTTTTCCCCCTGCTCAAAAACATTTCACGTCATCTTAACTGGGACTAAACTGCACAGCTTTGACTAGCTGAATAAAAAACACAAATACACTATAAAGGAAGAGAGCAGGGATCGTAAAAATATTAGTGAACAAAACTGGAGCTATGTCAAGGTTAGAAAAACACATACTGAGAACAGAAAATATTTACTACAATCCATGATTCATGTTGCAAGGCCACGACTTTTCTGGAATCAGAAGACAGGCTTGGAATGTTAAAAAAAAAATAGGAGGAATAGTATTCGTTTTCTGATGTACAACAATCATGTAATACTGCAACCAAAAACACTGTTAAATATATAATGCCTTGCCATAGGACTAATTAGGCTAAAGCAGTTTAATGACACATGCTAACATGTGGATTTCCTCATCACTCATCCTTGTGCAAGAAAAACTCTTAAACTCTTGTTTTTGCTGATGGCTGCAGCTGTGAGGAATCTTTTTGCTGATATGCCTAGGATTTTTCCTGAAATGACACCACTGTTAATATAAAAGCCTTCAATATGAAGCCAGGACAGAATGACCTGAAATAGGATCTCTTCACTGTCTTACCAAAAATACATATTCTGATAAGGTCTGTCAGATGTTCGCATGTACCAGAGAGCCTAATGAAGGCTCACGTGCAGCTAGCAAAGTACTAACCCTGTAAAACCAGGCAGGCTTACTTTAAGCAGGGAAAAAGAAGAACCAGCCACCAAAATCCCCTCTCACCCCCTGAGCAGCAGAGCAACTGACCTGTGATTTGTCCAAGCGAGGCAAACCTGTGAACGAGTTAATCACCAATATGAAATACCAAACCGCTTCAATTCTATGTTTTACTACTCTTGTACACAACGTATGCTCATTAGCAAAGATTTCTAGAGTTTTGCCTGTCTTCTGAAGTTGTCTTGATCTCACAAAATAACTCTTTTTACAGATACTTTGACTCTGTAGTTTTACAAAGATATTTTGACTGTTTGAGAGTCCTGGCTGTAAAACTCCTATTTCTGGACACAATGATTTGCCCTTTGGGTAAGAGTCAAGTCTGCCCTGCACAGGCAAACAACATAAAAGTCTTCAGGGATCTAAGCACTAGGAGAGCAGAGGTTATAAATCCCAGAAATTCCTATTGCTTGTGATGCATTTAGGTACCCCTTAGCCTAAGCTGAGTTTGTCTGCTGTATGTTTTTCTTGATTCTTTTCTCACCAGAAACGCTTTTCCTGCCATACAGGCAGTTAATGGAGGGGAAACCCTTGCAAAAAAAGAGCAGCTCCCGAGGTAAAGCTTTAATGCATTCAGACAGGCCTCATGTGCTCACATACATATGAATGCACACTATCTTTAGCATTGTAAAAACTGACATAAACCTTTGATCAAATCAAATCAACTAATATCCACTTTTTTAAAAAGTGGAAGATGTGTAAAAAAAGAGGAATGGAGGAGAAGCTGCAGGTCAAGGTTGACAGTCATTCGATGGCGACAGGGCTTGACTCCCCACACCTGTAACACAGGCATGAGGGTGATCCAGGTCCACACGCGCCCTGGCAAAACATGAGCAAGGCCACGAACACCGAATGGGACCATGTTCGCAGGCAGATATCCCGGTACAATGCCTTAAAAACATTCCACGGTTTGCTGAAGGTACCAATCCCATACAAATCCAACCCAGCAATACCTACCTAAACTTAAACCAAGGCACTTTAAAATTAAAGAACTGGGGTAGTTGCAAGTGGAAGATAACATGCTCCTACATCTTCATGCCTCAGATTTATTTCTGATTTCCAAGTAGGTGGGAATAGAGGGAAGCTCACACCTGTCTTGGGCCGATCGGAGGTTGGGAGTGCACAAGGCATAGCCGATACATCAAACTCGAATAAGAAATGAACAAAACGACCCTGAGGTGAAGAGGCAGAACGCAACGTCATGACTTTAGAAGGGTTTATGTTGGTATATATCCTAGGGCATAAAAACAGCACCCTTCTCAACAAGGGAAATTGCATGAAGCACATGCTTGCCTCTGTACCTATATATATATATA